ACTAAGAGGTTATATGAGACAGGGGCATGGAGAGTGAAAATTTCTGGTGATGGCAGCCAGCATCATGGATTTCATGAAATATCAGGAATGGGAACATGTCCTTCAAAGTGTGCCCTATTATTTCACAGCCCATTATTTTTAAACGGGTCTCTGGCACGCAGAATTAAGTGAACCCAGACAACATTAGTTATGCTGCCCCCCCCCCCGGGATGGTTTAAGCAAGTCTTTTCAAATTATGCATAACCAGGTGAGGCAGAAGGAGCTGAAAATCTCTGAGCAGATCACCTGAAAGAAAGATGCCAGTGCCTTCTGCAGCAATATTCGAGAAGTAAAGCAGCTCCTCCCACTTAGAAACAATAAAGTTTCAACACAGGAGTGGAGGGTGATCTAGTTCATGAAGCTGAGTGATACTTTTGGGTAACACCAGAACAATAAAGAGGAGGAGATTGGATTTATACCCAACCCTTCAGTACCCAAAGGAGTCTCAGAACAGTTTACAATCTTCTTTCCCCTCCCCTCCCCACAACAGGCACCCTGTGAGGTAGGTGGGGCTGAGAGAGCTCTCTCGAGAACTGCTCGTGAGAGAACACCTCTGAAAGAACTTGTAACTTACCCAAGGTCACGCCAGCATGTGGAGGAGTGGAGAATCAAACCCGGTTCTCCCAGATTAGAGTCCACGCTCCTAACCACTACACCAAACCGGAAGTGGTCACTTTAGGGCCTGAACTCATTTTCCTAGTGTTCATTGGCTACAGCGCCTCATTTATTAGCACTGCTGTACCACTACGTTTATACTCAAATATATTTAACATTTCAAAGAATGTTTCTGGAGAAGGGTTTTGGATAGATGCTTCTCTTAAAATTAATCTTTTGTATTTATGTGAACTTTTATGTAAAAGAATAAAAATAATTTTAAAAAAGAAAAGAAAAGCTGATAGTAGGCCCAATAAGACTGCTGCAGTGGAATGCTTGGAGGAATAATTCATCAGTTGCTGGGATAATACTTCAGTTACTGGGGAGCACAGATGTGTGTGGGGGTGCTGTTGTGGCCATCCTGCTTATGGACATCCTAGATGCAGCTGGTTGGCCACTTGATGAGCTTTTGGTCTGATCCAGCACAGCTCTTTTTACAGTTACCTTCTACAGTTCCACAGGGCCTGCAAAACGGAGCTCTTCCTCCAGGCCTTTGCTTAGGGAGCTGCACCCAAGAAACTGAGGTCCTGGCCCCAATATTAACATCATCATCAACAGCCTAATATAACCCAGACTTGACGTTAGCTGGATGTTGCCTGTGGATGCTGCTAATGCCCGCCATCTTGATACAAACTGTACTAGCACTTTATATTATATTATGTTATGTTTTATAATTATATTGTTATGATTTTACTCAATTTTGTTTCAGCTTTGTCTTATATACTTCATGTAAGCCTCCCTTGGCCACGAGGGCGGGATATAAATTTAAATAAATAAATGTTCTTTTTAAAAAAAATTAAAAACAAAACAAAACAAAGCCCTCTGCAGTGGCACATCGCAAGGTGGCAAAAAAGTAATTAACTTTTACATACCATGTTGCATTGTATTCTACTATGTTCACAGTACAGATGATTGCCTTAAAATGAATAACCTTGTCAAGGCAAGAGCCACTTCATCCAATAACAGCAGAGCCCAACAAATGACTTTAAACTTAGTTTACTTGAGAATACAGGACACAGTAGGGGGAAAATGGTAAAGGCTGTCATCTAAACCCAATTAAATGCAATGTTAGAATTCAAGATAATTGAAAGTTTAATCCTAAACACTAAACCAAACGACAGAATACAGACTGAAAACATGAGGGGATGAAGTAATTTTAAGCCCATCACACCCATTTCAATGAAGCTTATTTCCAAACAGCTATGTGGAGAATCAAGGTCCAACTAAGTATGTTCAAGGGTGCATACAGCAGTAGGGTTGCCTGGTCTCTAAAGATTCGTTCTGGAGTTTCAGTCCAGCAATTCCATGTGAGCCATGGGAACTGCAGATGCAGTCACAAGCAACTCCTTTCCACCTTAGAAAAACAGGTGGCTCTATGTGGGTAAAAGACAAGCAACATGAAGTCGCCTATCCACCTTAGCGACTGTCGGGGACCACGTCAGAGGTCCCTTGTGGTTTGTGCCACCAACATGACATCATGTTCACCATAAGGACACGTGAAAGTGTCTTATACAGAGTCTGGCAAAGTCAGTCTTGTCTACTCTGACGGGCAGTGGCTCTCTGGAGTTTCAGGTAGAGGTCTTCCACGGCGCCTACTACCTGATCCTTTTCACTGGAGATGCCAAGGATTGAACGTGGACCACATTATCACAAAACATCTACTGGTAATAACCACCCCGATTATTTACGGCGCCTACTACCTGATCCTTTTCACTGGAGATGCCAAGGATTGAACGTGGACCACATTATCACAAAACATCTACTGGTAATAACCACCCCGATTATTTACGTGCTGGTTCAGTAAACTTTAGGCCAGTGTGAAATTGTTAAAATAGCCAAATACTCTATCTGGTTTGTGCTGCAAGTCCCTCTGACTATCTGGTCTCCGTCCCTCTCATCTTAAGCTGCATCCTCTTCTCCTACCGTGACAGCATCGATACTTTAGCAAATATTATGTATATACCCTTTTCTTTGCCATCAAGTCACAGCTGCCTTATGGTGACCCCATGGGGTTTTCAAGGCAAGAGACACTGAGAGATGGTTTGCCATTGCCTGCCTTTGCATTGTGACCCTGGTATTCCTTGGTGGTCTCCCATGCAAGTACTATCCACGGCCAACCCTGCTTAGCTTCCCCAATCTGACAAGGTCAGGCTGGCCTGGGCTATCCAGGTCAGGACACACAGACACACACACAAACAACACTTACCTACTGTAACACAACCCAATTCTCGAAAGATTATTTGTTGGCTCAAAACATTAAGATTACTGAAGGAATTGTTAAAGTGCATCAAAGAGGCCATCTTTTAACACTCCATGGCACATTTCATTCAAGATATTCACAAGTCAGAAGAAATCTAAAGAGCCCATTTAAATCAAATGGCAAGACCATATCTGAAGTACTTTACAGAGCAGTTGTATGCTTAGGAAGGAAAATCTCAAGCTGTTTTTGTTAGGTTGAAACTAGATGTTAAGTACAATTGTATATAGCTTTTCTCAGATTTAAAAACCCACAGAAGCAGAAACTGGGCTGGGGGGGAGGGGGAAGGGAGAGAAAGACTCGCTAACCCTTTCCCTTCTAGCTGTCTTCCCCCTCCCCCAAATCCACCTCGCTGCTTTCACCCTCTCTTTTGCTCTGGATGTAAGAACATACCATTTTCTGCACAAGGATGGACAGAGGTAGATGGGGGTTAAACAGTTCCTCACCCTACCACTCCTCCAGTTAACTCACAGCCTCCCCAGCTTGCTTTTGATTTAAAAGGATATGGCACAAGTTATATGGAACTGAATGTTACAGCTAGTTTGGCCCTTAATCAGCTACTCAATGGTGTTAACTGATGGTTTTCTTGTGATAAGATAACAATATTCAAAACTATTCTCAATAAATAAACATGCATCCTATGATGATTCCATTCACTCCCCTTTAAAACATTTTTCCAATAAATTTAAATCAGCAAGTATTACAGAGGTGATACTGTAAAGAAAATTCAAGTAGACTTCACCTCCTACTTTTATGCTCAAACACAAGATTAAAACCCAGACTACTTTTGGGAGTAACACACTTTTTAAAAAAGGAAATGCTTTCTATTAGATTTGATAAAGACTTTTAGCCTCTGATTTGGAAAGTACTAGTGGACGCACATTGTTAATACGGGGAGCTCCACACCCTTCCCAAGGGAACAAAAGCAAAACTGTAACATGCAAGCAATACGTTGATTTTTTTTCTTTTTTTGGGAAAAAAAAGAAATCAAAAAGTCACACAAATTTAGCACTCACTACAAAATATGGTTAAAAAAATAAAAGAAACCACAAGCTACAGCTCGAAAGCAAGAAAAAAAGCCCTTGGCTGCCCATGGCAAAGTCAACACTTCTCAACAAAACCAAAGTCCACCAAAAAACAAAAACAAAAAAACTTTCACTACAGCTTTTTCAATTAAATAAAAGCACACAGTTTAGCTATCAACACCACTTCATTACTGTAATAAATAAAAAAAAGCACACGGATATCTATTGACTAAATAGAAAAAGAAACATACATGCATCGTTAATCACCATTTTAGCTCGTTTGTGTGTTTTGATTCTACTGGTTACAGAGTTTAATTCCAAACAGAACTATTCCACCTCATATCATCATATCCTTCTCATCAGTTATCTTAACTGTAAACGATCCCTGTCAGATTAGAAAGAGATAAATAACATTGGGTCAAGTTGAAGAAAAATACGGAATGGGGCACAAGGTGGCTTGCTTACTAAGAGAGAGAGAGAGAAGCAGGAAGTGCGTCCTTGTTTTTACCACATGATCTTAAGCACACTGGCCTGCTCGAGCACAAGGACTGCATGCGTCTCATACCACTTGACTCAGCTAAGAGAATTATCGGTAAGTGATGGCATTTTAAATCTGGAAATTTGGGGGGGGGGAAAGGTTTAATTACCAGTCAACAGTCATACTGGAAGCCATTGGTATGTGCACGTTATGGGCTGGATCCAACCAGCTTTTCCACGGGTGAAAAAGTGGGGGGGGGAAAGGTTTAATTACCAGTCAACAGTCATACTGGAAGCCATTGGTATGTGCACGTTATGGGTTGGATCCAACCAGCTTTTCCACGGGTGAAAGTGGGGGGGGGGGTCTGTCCCCCTGACCACCGAAAGGTTATGGTGGAAATCATGGATCACGCATGGGCAAAAAAAAAAAAACCCTCTCCATGTCAGACGGAGATTGTAATAAGGAGAGGAACGGAAAGTGAACAAGTTTGGCTGGATCCAGCCCTATTATTTCCCCCATCTGAAATATTAGTTTAAGGCGTACTTACCCAAAAGGCCTTTGTATTAATGCTGGATGAAGTTGCTGAACACCAAAGGCAAAACCTACGAACAAAACACATCACATAAGCATAGCCTTTTGTGGACTGTAACAAATTCTGATTTTGAAGATACACCAGTCGGATAAAGTATGATCCACTACCATGTGGTTTGAATGAGATAGTTAGTGCCAAGGTAGAGGTACACGCGAAACTGTTTTGTACAGACTATAAGACCATTCGTCTTTCAAGATCAGCATCGTCTACTCTGACTGGCAGCGCTCCTCCAAGGTCTCAGGGAGTGGTTTTTTCCAGTCACCTAGTGCCTAAGCCTTTTAAACTGGCGATGCTGGAGACTAAACTCAAGACTTTATTCATGCAAAGCAGATGCTCTGTCACTGAGCTGTGGCCTTCCCCTGACAATGTGATACCCTGAACTGAAACACACCATGCAAAAGAGAGAAAAATTAATGCAGAGGAGCAGCAGAGGAAGTGAGGATACTCATGACACCTTAAACCACTTTGAGAATGGTGATATTTTGGCCTTTGGTTTAACTAACCTTGCATAGCCATGGTTCAGCACCCAAATCTTGGTTTGAGCTTTCAAATTATGTAGAACACACAAACCACGGTTTCAACCCTGCTTGTTTACATTCATCTCTCAGCATTTGGTGTCCTTCGTTCACACCTGTCTCTGCTGTGCAGCAGCCCTTGGAGAAAAAGTGATGGTTGCAACTGGCTTGTCAATTCAGGTATGGTTTGCAAACCTGCTTCAGCCCACTGTTTCTGATTCTGGTTTGTGGGCCAAACATAAACCACGGTTGGCTAACTTAAACCTCTCGTTAAGCCTCCTTAACTGTGGTCTGGCAAAATGTCTGAATTAAGCCCTTATCTACTAAAAAGATTTCCCTGCTTATCAAGTACAAGTCTGTAAGGGAATTTATGAAAATGTCCTGATTTCGGTATATGTAAGAGAATTAACATTATAATGACAGTTGGTTTCTTAGCACCTGAAATAAATAAGTGGTGACCACGCGGTTACTTTTGTGCTGGCCATCTTGTTTAGTCCGAAACGTTTTCTGCTACTCATAATATCATATCATGACTTTCTACTGAAGCCTGCGCTATACAGTTTTTGGGGGTGAGTGACCCTGTAATTGCTATCCTTGAATATACAGGCTCCATTAAAATCCCATAACCCCTGATTTTAATTTTCTAAAATTATATGTGCTGAACCTAGAACCCCTTTTATACGAGAGCCGGTTGTGATAACTCAGTGGTGGAGAGAAGCAGTCAAACGCTGACTTTTAACACTTGAAAACAGGTTATGGACTTAACTTTCACCTCAAATTAAGCCCACACGCTCCCCAGCCTTTACTAAGCCATTGTATTTAGCCAGCCTACGTCACCAGGAACACGCAGCGAGAAGTCTAGCCTGTTCTTCTTGTCACCTTGACAAAAATACATCCCTGTTGACACAAAACGTGACTTCGGACTCAGAAAACAATTGGATGCCTTTCCATGTCGTCACGGCAGCCCGCTGCTTATGCCAGGCAAGAAACCTTGGCCGCCAAGACAGCAAATAGTGTCCGCCTACACCACCAACTCGTGATATACTACATAATATGTGCTTGTACTGAAGTGGGCCATGCTGTACGTTTTTAACACGATGCGAAAAGGCAACATTGTACATTTTCTTATTACCATACCATAATGAATTATAAATGTCTTTTTAAAAATCCTATTCCCCCTCCCCCCGCTTTTCTGCGAGCCCTTCTGCCAATCCAACACCTGTTGGGGGGTGGGGAGGGAAGAACTCTCATGCTCAGCTGGGTACATCATTCAGCTGCTGCACGAGGCTCTGTGTATCAAGCAGAGCGCTCCCTCTTCCCGTCACAGCTTCCTCTCCCAAGAGAAAGAGCGCACACACAAAACTCCTAGAAATTGTCTTTTAATGGTTATTTCAATGGTATTCCATTAAGATTGTTGTAAACAACCCTGAGCCCGTCCACAGGGAGGGTGATATATAAATCAAATAAATAAATAAAGAAGTACTCTCCCCCCAAATGCTGCTTGTCTTCTAACAGCAGTTGAATCACCCCCAAGGTCCCACACAGAAATCATCCGCAGATGCATCATGCCCCCCACCCCAGAGGTCCTACCCCAGCATTTTCGACTCAGTATTGTCAGTACTGACAGCTAAACCAGTACATCCAGACACAAAGCCTTGAAAATGTCTTGCTTTGTTGTGCGGCACAGAAGCCCCATCTTAAACACTCTGATCCCTCCCAGCTTTTCTTGATGGTCCCCCATCCCCCAGGAACAGCATTTGGGGGGGCCTTTTGGCTGCAGTGGGGGGGGGAAGTATGTACAAAATCCTTTCATCTGCAGAAACTGCAGGTGCAAATCAAGCAATTGGTTGGCATGCAAGGTTTAGACTGAAATTATACACATGTTGTAAACCCAGGAAAATTGAAATGCAGTTGTAAATCAGTCTTCCCATACCACTTCATTCAGAAACTGAAAACAAGAGCATGAGAGAATTAGAGGTTTCTGGTTTCTTACATGCGCATATCGACAGAGAGGCTGAAAAGCACTTAATGGCATGAGTTGGCTTGATTTTTACCTATGATTTTAATTCGTCTTGGAATGGCCCTTGGCAATAGCAATACATTTTGACTGGTTACTAGGTTTTGGAATTGGGAGATCTGATTTTTTGTTTGTTGGTTGGTTTTCACTGTGTCCTTTTCAGAAGCTCTAGCACAATCCCTGCCTAAGTATCAACAGGTGGGAGTGGTCCTCATCCGCTCTGAATGAATTCACTTCTCTGATTAGTTATGGTTTCAGACTGGCCTATCTTTATAACGTCTCCCCACTCCCACCTTTCTCTTACTTGTAATTTTGAACCCTAAAAAGATCTGTGACACATTTTGCTAAAAGGTGACACCGGACTTCGGTTTCATGATTCTCTAACCTTTGGTAATGCTCCGCTTGAAACAGAAGAAGTGTCCTGAAGTCTGTATTCTCTGTTTAACAAGACGAGAAGCCAGGCAAGGCGAAGTTGGGATTTTCTTACCTGGCTGCATTATTCTTGGTTTTGCTCCTAGGTATGCTAGATTCACATTCGCTTTTCTGCCATCAATGATCGGATTAGGATCCTTGCAGGCCCTTTCCGCAGCAGCTCGGTCAGCCATGGTCACCTTGACAATAAACCACGCACAGTATTAGACGCCTGCAGTCAACTCCATTCAAAGAACCCAACACCGTGCTTCCGCATCCACTAAAGCCCGCGAAGCCAAACACCTTTCCTGAGAGACTCGCTCAAGTTTCCTTGCTAGAAACTGCCCCCTTTCAGTCTCTGCCTCTTTGTTAAAATTAATCACTGAAACGGCATGTGCCATTTTCTGGAATTCTGCAGCCACCGAGCACCCACTCACACAACAGCATGTGCCACTGATAAAAAATACTAACATGTCATATCAGTCTGCCAGCAGCTGGGCTCCATCCCATGCCAAAATTCCCCTAGCAACTCTTTTCATGCGAGTTACGTTGCAAATCTTCCCCTGAAGGGCGAAACTACAGCACCTCCATTAACAAGAGAAGAAATAACCCCTGAAAAGAAGCCCCTATAAAAGGAGATATATATATATATACACACACACACACACACAAATCTATAGTTTTACTTAATTTGTATTCCTTGGATTGAGGATTATTCATGTAGGCGATCTGCCTTTGCAGCCCATTGTTCATAATAAACTTTCCTTCAGTTCCAAGAACTTTCCAGTCACCTGCCTTCCCCCCCTGCCCCCTCGCAAGGGTAACGACAGCCTCCCCCCTTTCCCCCCACAGAACCGGGCCTACAATTCAAAAGGGAAGCACGGGCGACAACCTTAAACACGCCTACCAGGGAGTAACTCTATTAAAGTCAATGAGATTTGGTGGCGGTAAGTGCCTCGAGTCGCGGCGGCCTTATGGCGACCAGGTAGGGTTTTGCAAGGCAAGAGACCAGCAGGGGCGGGTTTGCCTTTCCCCGCCTCTGCTTAGCGACTCTGCTACCCCTTGATGGTCTCCCCCTCCGAATACTAACCAGAGCCGGCCCCGCTCGGCTTCCAAAACCCTGACGACCTCGAGCTAGCCTGGGCTTGCCAGGTCCGGCCCAAAACGAGACTTCCTCCCGCGTATCCATGCCAGTGTTCCCTCTAAGATGAGTCAGTGTGAGCCAGCTCACAGTTTTTTAGCCTCCGGCTCACACATTTTTGTCCTAGCTCAGGGAGGAGGGCTCCAGAGCAAACTAATTGATGCAGTCACCAAATCGCCCGCTCACAACTTTGATGCCAGCCACTCACAAAGTAGAATTTTTGCTCACAAGACTGCACAGCTTAGAGGGAACATTGACCCATGCCCGGGATCGCCCTGCACGTGCGAGTCTCCCTCGGCAGGCGCAACCCCGACGCCTTCCACCCCACCCCGCACCCCTCTGGACTCACAAATCCGTATCCCCTGGATTTGCCCGTCTGCCGGTCGGTGATGACGACGGCCTCCTCGATCTCCCCGAACACCTCGAAGTACTTGCGCAGGCTGGAGTCGGTGGTGTGGTAGGGCAGCCCCCCGACGAAGATCTTGGTGTAGGTGGTGTCCTTCTGCGTCGTGTGCATCTTCCACGGGGGACGCCTCTCCCTTCCCGCGACGAGCCCCCCAACCGCACAGGTCACAAACGCCTCGACGGCAAGCGGGACACGCGCGCCCCTCGCGCACTCCTCCGCGCAACTTTCCTCTCTCCCCGGTGCCAAAAAGGGGTCCTGGGGCGGCGCAGCCTTCTGCCTCCAGCCCAGCCCGGCTCTGCCCTTCCCTTCCCTTCCCGGCGCCGCTCCACCGGCTGAGGTAGACGCGAGGAGAGGCAAAAAAGCGGGGCGGGCCCGGCCGCAGGCGACGCACCACCTCCTCCGCTGCCTTCGCCGCCAGCGCTCGGGCTCCCCTCTAAAAGCCGCCGGCTCGACCTCGCCGGGCTCCCGCTGCTCCGCCCGCCTTCTTTCCAGCCAAGGGGGCGGGCGGCCGGGCGGGGTCGCTGTAGCCATTGGCCGACGCTCCCCAGCCGTTCGGGAACAGCTGCTTGCTCTGGTCCTGCTCCCCTTTTCGCTGCGGGCGCAGTGTTCCCTCTAAGCTGAGTTGGTGTGAGCCAGCTCACAGTTTTTTAGCCTCCGGCTCACACATTTTTTTTTTTGTCTTCGCTCAGGAAGGGAGGGCTCCAGAGCCAATTAATTAATGCAGCAGCCAATTTGCTCGCTCACAACTTTAATGCCCAGTAGCTCAGAAAGTAGAAATGTTGCTCACAAGACTCCACAGCTTAGAGGGAACGTTGCTGCGGGGGTCTGGCAGTTGGAAGGAAGCCGGGGTGTGGGGGTCTCTCCTCCATGCCACCCCCTCCAGGTGGGGAGGAAGCGCCCAGCTTGTCCTCGGGCAGCAAAAACGGAGGCCCGCCTGAGGCTTCGACGGCACGTTTTGAGCAGGGGCAGCCTTTCGCTGGACCCCTGGTCAAAAACAGGCGGCAGGGCCTCACCACCAGTGTTCCCTCTAGTTTTCCTCTAAGCTGTGGAGTCTTGTGAGCAAAAAATCTACTTTGTGAGCTACTGGCATTAAAGTTGTGAGCAAGTGATAGATTAGTTTGCTCTGGAGCCCTCCTTCCTGAGCTAAGAGGAAAATGTGTGAGCCGGAGGCTAAAGAACTGTGAGCTGGCTCACACTAAGCTTAGAGGGAACACTGCTCATCACCCTCAGGGCTGCCTGCTGGTAGCATTTCGAGTTGGGAAAAGAAGACCCTTTATGGTAGGGTTGCCAGGTTTCCCCTGGCCATCGGTGGGGGATGGGGGTAGGGTTGCCAGATCCAGGTTGGGAAACTCCTGGAGATCTGGGGATGGAGCCTGGGGAGGACATGGACCTCAGTGGGGTATGCCTCCAAAGCATCTTATTTTCTCCTGGGAAACTGTCCTCTGTAGTCTGGAGGTGTCCTGTAGTTCCGGGGGATCCCCAGGCCCCACCTGGAAGCTGGCATCCCTACTTTATGTTCAGCCTTCATTTATAGCCTCTTTAACTTATTTATGTATTTAGACATTTCCTTCCTTCCTCTCCTTTTTCACGGGGACTCCGTGTGGATGACACAGAGTGAATCTACACTGAGTACCAGAAGCCAATCAGGTTTCGCTATTTACAATACCAGAGATGGATAGGAGTGTAATTCAAGCTCAGCTTATTTATGTATAGGCAATACATAACGCTACAATGGGAAGGGCTAGAGTCCAGGAGCTCTTTAAAGACTAAGAAAATTTGTGGCAGGGTAGTATCAGCGTTCCGTGAGCCTTAGTGTTTAGTCATGCCGGCCACATGACCACGGAAACTTCTTCGGACAGCGCTGGCTCTTCGGCTTTGAAACGGAGATGAGCACCGCAACCCTAGAGTCGGATTCGACTGGCTTTCGAGCAAGGGAGCCTTTACCTTTACCTAGGAGCTTTCCTGGGTCACTGCTCCCTTCGAAGCGAACTGTAACTCAGGAAGGATCATATAACCTGCCACAAATGTTGTGAGTCTTTAAGATGCTGCTGGTCTGTTGATCTTTTCTGCTGCTAGGCTACCTGTCTTGATCTATCTCCGTGGAAGTGCAATAGGATTAGGCTTGTAGAACCACCCAGAAATCTAAAAACAACTGAGGCAAAGCGTAAGAGTTAACGTGACACATTAAATGATGCAAAATTCCATAGCAGAATCCTAGTTTAAGCAAGCTATGCACAGTAGTATAGACCACAGACCCTAATAATTTTTCCAAGTAAGTCTATGAGTCACTTAGTGCCACATAAGTCTCTGTCTGAGACACAAATAAAAAAGAATGCAGAAAGAAGAGGTACAGGTAAACAGTGTAACAGAACTGGATTGCAAAATTAGAGAAGTGAACATGAAAAACAGAGTAACCTGCGTTAAAACAGTAAGGCAAGTGTAACAAACATGACTGTTTTTCTTTTCAGGGGATGTATGTGAACCAATAAAAAAGGTCTGTGCCGTTTCTGAAATTCTGTTCCTTGTTTCTCTTTACTCTGTTCTTTTTCTTTGGAGGAAAAAGTTTTTGTTTTAATGAAGGCAGGCCTGGTTGAAGTTTGTTGCTGATGTTTGCCTTCACAGGAGGTATGACTGTAGCATGCCCATCATGGACTGAGTACGCCAGAAACACAAACAACTCACGAAGGTAGGAATCCGTGACAGACCTTGAGAGAGCATTTGGGGAGGGGGGGAGCGTCCTTAGCCTTTGTTGTGTTTCCCCTCACATGGATTCTGTGAAGCAGGGAGTTCTTACTCCCATTTTATAGAAACACAATATAAGGACTGCCTTCTCCAATATGAACCTACCCAGTCATTCTGGTCATCTTTGCCAGATCTGCTTCCATTGCCTCCACCGTCTGAGGCTAGACAGGTGACAACCCCAGAAACGGCTTTATTGGTTTTGAAAATAAGAACATAAGAAGAGCCCTGCTGGATCAGACCAGTAGTCCATCTAGTCCAGCATCCTGCCTCACACAGTGGCCAACCAGTTCCTCTGGAGGGCCGACAACAGGGCACAGAGGCCGAGGCCTTCATAAGAACGTAAGAAGAGCCCTGCTGGATCAGACCAGTAGTCCATCTAGTCCAGCATCCTGCCTCACACAGTGGCCAACCAGTTCCAGACCTTGAGAGAGCATTTGGGGAGGGGGGAGCGTTCTTAGCCTTTGTTGTGTTTCCGCTCACATGGATCCTGTGAAGCAGGGAGTTCTTACTTCCATTTTATAGAAACACTCCTCTGGCAGTGAATTCCACAGTTTAATCACTCTCTGTGTAAAGTAGGATTTCCTTCTGTCCATCCTGAACCATCAGCTTCATTGGATGGCCTTGAGTTCTAGTATTTTGACAGAGGGCGAAAAATTTCACCCCATGCATAATTTTATAAACCTCTATCGTGTCGTCCCCCTCCCCTTAGTCATTTCTTTTCTAAATTGAAAAGTTCCAGCCTCTTCAGCCTTTCCTCATAGGGAAGGTGCTCCAGCCCCCTATCATCTTGGATGCCCTCCTTTTACCTTTAGCACCAAAACTTTGGAACTCCCTTCTCAAGGGAGATTCATCTGACTCCCTCTATCTCTGTCTTCCGTCAGCCGGTGAAGACTTTTTTGTATCATTTGACCTACCCATAATCAGGGCTATTTTTGGGCAGGAACGCACAGGAACGGAGGATTTGGAGTCTTCTTTGACTAAAGGATTTTAAGTCTTCTGTCGCCTGAAATGTGGAGAACATCAAAGCTGGTGTGGAAGAATGCTGGTGATACAGTAAGATTCAGTGCTCAAGTCTGCCGGCTACAAATAACTACAAATAACTGTTTAGATATTTAATGGAATTTGCTTATATCATTATTTGGAAGCAACTAATAACTTTAATAACCATCTATTTATCTTTATCTTGGAGAATGCCTACAAGATTTGCTGGATCCTATTAAAGACAATTTACTGTCTACTGTGATATTCACCTTTACTACCAGTTATTCAAGCTTTAATTAATAATTTTTAGCAACATAGAACTCTGTTTTAACCTACAGTTTCTGGCACTACAAAGAGCTTAATTGGACTCATTTTATTATTATTATTATTATTATTATTATTATTATTATTATTATTATTATTATTATTATTATTATTATTATTATTATTATTATTATTATTATTATTATTATTATTATTATTATTATTATTATTATTATTATTATTATTATTATTATTATTATTATTATTATTATTATTATTATTATTATTATTATTATTATTATTATTATTATTATTATTATTATTATTATTATTATTATTATTATTATTAATAATAATAATAATAGTAAATTAATTAAGTCTGAAGAGGAATCTTAAAACATTGTGAAAGTACATTTGAGCTGACTACCAATACTGGTAGTCTTATATTTCCTGGCCTTTCTCTTCAGGATGGAGAAAAAATGGTCATTTTTTATTATACTGGTTTTTCTTTATTTTTTCTCTCGCCTATCCCAACTTGGTTTACAAAGGATAGTATCTCATTAATTTGGATTAAAGAAGACTATATCCTCTTAATTGGATTACAAAGGACTATACTTCATTATCAAGAACTTGAAACTGTTCAAAGTGGATTAAGCTGATAAATCCTGACTTGGAACTCTCTTTGTTATCAGGTTTTCCTTGAATTATTATACATTTCTTTAGATAGGCTGGTGAAGAAGACGGAGGGAATAGTTGGGATAGTAGCCTTTCTTATCATTTTCTTATTTTCTTAATTGTGAGATGTTTCATGGTATGTTTTCAGAGGGAGATGCCATCTCTTTTTTTCTGAACTGTTTCCAAATGTCTAAGAAAATCTTTGGTGCCATCTGCTGTTCTTGAACTGATCCCAAAAGTTTAAAACTGAAATAAGAAAGTATTTGCTGCCTTCTGCTGTTCTTTTAAAATATTTTTTGCTGTTCTTGAACTTATCTCAAAAGTTTAAGATTGAAATAATGGGCCCTGGATGGGCCATTGGCTGGATTCAACATTGGCTTCTCTTATGTTCTATATTTTCCATTATTAAATTCTGTATTTTAGAGATTTAGATAATAATATAAGTACATGTCACTGTCTACTAATTATAAAGGCTGTAACAAAGGCAGTGTTTGTAGAAAATTTAAGGCAAAGGTTGTGTATATAAAACAGTAACTTGTTTGATTATATGGTTTTGTGATCATATGGTTGTGTAGAAAAATTGTGTAGGACTTTTAAACAGAAGAAAGTTAAAGAAACTTGGAAAAATGGCAACAAAGAAAGAGAACAACAAAGAAAGAATATAGTTTCAAAGATGATATAGAAATAATAACTGAGAAGATAACATCAACTGTCTCATGACAAATCAAAGCCCTTTCAACAGAGTTAAAACAAAAAATTAAAAATGTTCTAATTCAGTTGCAACGAACAGAT